TGTGAACGCAGTGACACCTTGCCTTCACAGAGGAGGAGCCACTACCTGATCCTCATCCAGGCGTATCAAGAAAAGAAAGTGGCTCAGAAATGACAGGTGGTGGCTGCAGGCCAGGCTTTCTTTCCAACCTGGTGTCACAGTGACACGTCCTCTCTACCTGATAGCCTGGGAGGACTATTGATTTCTCTGAAGCTATTTCTAGTTTCCATTAATGACTACATTTGGCTGATTCTTCAAGTCAACCTGCATCCCAGGAGGCCTCACTTCTACATCTCAGGCTCACTCCTGATATAAGAAGGCGTTTTCTTGGGGCTTCAGGAGTCCTGCAATGGGGAATGAGGTACTCAATTTAGTTTATGTTCTTTTATTTCTTGCTCAAAATTAGTGAGAATTGTATTTACTTAATTTCTGATAGTCCCTGTCTTTACCCCACTGATACCATGAGACTAAATTCTTAGAGCTTATAGGAAAACATGAAGTTGCAATGCTTATCTCTTTGAGTAATTGGATTGTTTTAATTTTGAGATAATGTAGGAGCAAGATGATAATACCCAATTCCCTTTTGAAATCAGCATGTGCCAAATACCGGACCCATGATCACTGAAGACCCCTTCAGAGTGACAATAGAAAACTTGAAACAGAGACAGAGACATTCCTCTCACTTTTGCCTTTGAATTATTTTAATAACATAATAACCAGGTCTTTTCTAATTATGTAACTCTTTCCTGTAACTGGCAAAAGGAAATTTACATTAAATACCTCTATTGTACGCAAACACACCTGGATGATTGGAAGGAAATATCATTTTCTTCTACTCATTTAAAAGAATATTTAAGAAACTCTGCTCTTCACAATAATGGTAGTGCCTTTGAAAAATCTTCACTGACATAATTTTACACAAACATAATTTATACACAAACAAAATTATTTGTTTTTAATGAAAACTTCCTTATTCAGGTTCATGATTAGGACAATTAAATAATTACTCTTCCAGGCACTATTCAAGATCATTTACATGTGTATTCTTATTTAATCTTTAAAACTCTAGGTAGTAGGTGCTGCTGCTTCCTCATTCTCAGTTAAGGAATCTGAGTGTCCAAGGTTGCTCAGCAATCAGCAGCAGAGCCAGACTTGAATCCAGAGTTTGACCCCAAAGCCCATGTTTTATTGTTGTTTTTATACTGGGGATTGAACCTAGGAACACTTAATAACTGAGCCACATCCCCAACCCTTTTTTTAATATTTTATTAGAAATCGGGTCTTGCTAAGTTGCTTAGTAAGGACCTCACTAAGTTGCTGTGGCTGGCTTTGAACTCGCGATCCTCCTCTCTCAGCCTCCTCCAAGCTGCTGGAATTATAGGCATACACCACTGTGCCCAACTCACAGCCCATATTCTTAACCACCTCCTGAAACATTCTAATGCTTTCTATCAGAAGTAAGAATATTTACCAAAGATAACCACCTTTCTTTTGCTTATAGGTCACTTTCCTCCCATCTCTTCCACTTTCCTTCCTGCTTCCTCTCAGCCTAACGCATTCCTTTAGATTGGCCCAGTTTTCTTGTCCAGCCACTGCCAGGAAAAAGGCCTCATTCCATCTCCCAGTCTACAGACAGTGCAAGCTTAGGCAGGAGGCTGAGCCTCCTGGGAAACCCAAGCAAGTGTCCAGTGGTAAAGGACAACAGCAGAACTGCCCGTAAAATGTGAGGTTTCTTGTGTTGTCCACAACCAGCAACCATATTTGAGTAAGACAACATTCTCTGACCCTTCTCAGGGATGCATTTATTTTCATGTCTACATAGAAATACACGAGGAGCTCTCAGACTGTCAGAGAGAACTGTTGAACTGAGCCACGTGAACTCCAAGAAGGTAAACAGCTGTCATTCTAAGCTTTCCTGCTTTAACACAGAAGCAAAGAATAGGAAATTCTGGAAACTTAATGGTAAAATCTGCTTTATTAGATCATATTTCTCTAGGATTACAGGGAGCCAAAAAGTTTTGCTGTAATTTTTCTGGGAAAACCAAAAAACTCCACATAGATGTTTTTTAAAAACTGCTAGGTTTGGTTTAAATAGCACAATTAACTGATTAGCAGCACAATGGGCTAAATTTATCAAATGCCTATATCAGGACTTGAGCTGGAAAAGTAGCTGCCCTGTGTCTGCATATATTCTGGCAGAATGTGAATGACAAAACCTCTGACGGCTGCAGTGAGCAGCCTGTGCTCAGTGTCCACAGACCTGCCTGTGACTTCATGCAGAGGAACCCTGAGCCAGCTCCTTAACTTCTTCAAACTTCAGCTTCCCTAAGCGAAAGACAGGGCACTCATGTTCATCACCTGGGTGGCTGTAAAGATCAAATGACATCATGTCTGTGAAAGTGCCTTGCACAGAAACTGGCAGAGTAGGCATTTAATAAGTGATAGTTTTATTTAATTTTATATCATTTTAAGGGAGGGGTAGATGTAAAGCCATGTTATTAAGCAATAAGGAGACGGAACCATAAATTTGTGGTTGGCAATTTTTCCTTCCCTTAAGAAAACCGTTCACCCAAGCTGTATTTGCAGTTAAAACAGGGATCGCACAATCTTTTATGTTACTTCCACCACTAAAACCTCACCTTTTCATTATCAGATACTTCAAAGTATGTCTGTATAATTTATTCCTACTCTATATATTACTGCTATGTATATATTTACAATATAAAAATCAGGAGGAATAACAAAATCAAAGTCAACAGGGAAATATAGATGATCAGAGGTAAATGCTATGTTCTATGGCCCAACAGAAAGTTAATCATCATTTAAAGATGAGAAACAGAGTGCTCCCAATAAGAAAGAAACCATAAGTTCTACATAATAAAGAACATTGATAAAAGAAATCTTATATGAAAAAACTACATGTTCTCCTATATAATTTTTAAATTATATAAAATTTCATTTTCAGGATTATTTTCAAGTTGATTTTTAAGATTAAAAAGTTGGGTCACTTGCTTTGCTTAACATTTCCTTTTGGGTTATGTTAACATGGCTAATCTACTGAAAAAAAGGAAGCTCACTGGGACTCACTGAAGATATACAGAAGCTGAACATTAACACACGGGAGTCCAACAACAAAATGTGTGCAACAGACCTTCCCCAGAAAAGAAACTAAAATGAGAATCCTGACAGAAACTGTCCTTTGCCTGAAGCTTCTGGACCTGCAGCTGGACCATTGTCTTGCTGCCTGAGAGGCCAAAAGTTACTTTCCACTCAAAGGATGCAGTGGCTGGGAAGGAGTTCAGGCCACAGTGATGGTCAGAAAGTTCAGGTTACAGCAAAACCTCCAACGCCTATACTATAACCAAAGACTATAACCAAAGCTATCTTCTGTGCAGTCAGAGCAGTGGCAAGTTCCTAGAACTGATTTTTTGTTGCTGAGTTCAGCATTAAATGTTCTCTGAAAAAGCTCAGATCGGTCAGATTGAACAAACAAGAAGCAAAAATAAATTTCCCATAGAGTTTTGACTGCAATTAAATAAGCTATCTTGTTTCACAAAAAATCCTGCATATACCTAACTCTTCCCCCTAACCCTCAAAAAGCTATCGTTGGCCAATCTTCAGGAATTCTCAAAGGTTCAATTATGTTAAAAGCAATGATATCAAGCATAGAGTATTTTCTTAAAATTTTTCTATAGACACACAACTTTACCGTCTCTGCCCATTAAAAAATTAAGTGTTCAGTTGGTTTCCATCCTCAGTCTCAAAATATAGAAGAGCAAAAAAAATTACAAGGCTCTCAAAAAGCTTCTAATTAAGGGATAAGCCTCATTTTAAAGAAAAATCCTTACATGTTCTATGGGAAAGATATAACTTCAAGGATTTTTGTATCTTCCAGTTTGTTTATGAAGAAATCCAAATGATTAAATCAAATATAGGAATGTATTTGTTTTGAGAATAAAATGTCCTCTTTCATTAGTTCAGAGTTTGTGTTCATCCTTTGCTATCACTACTTGTACAGATTCCTTTCTACTAAAATTCAATCAGGTGGGTCAGGATTGTGGCTCAGGGGTAGAGCACTTGCCTAGCACATGCAAGGCCCTGGGTTCAATCCTCAGCACCACATAAAAATAAATAAATAAA